GATATCTAGACAATTATAAATTCAAATGTTTAAACTAATTGATAAATAATTTATAAATCTCTTTTTAATTTAAATATGTGATATTAAATATAACAAAATTTATTTAAAAAATCGTATCGATTCTACCAGTCCAACTGACTGGTGTTGACGGATTCGAGAGCAAATATTTTATTAAAGCGAACTAGATTGGTTATAAACCAGTTCTCGGTCCATCCGGTCGGATTGTGTTCAATTCGGTTTAATTTAAAAACAATGGATAAATCATGATTAATGTTATTTATATATTTAATTTACAATACAATCTTAATATTGTTTTTCTGTGCATCGCACGGGCCACGCACTAGTGAGTTATTAAGAGGAATAGTTTGTAAGGTGCTTATACTAGAGAGAGAGAGAGAGAGAGAGAGAGAGAGAGAGAGAGTAATTTTAACGTTTTTTTTTTATGATTTCTCAATATCTTTTATGAAACCTTTAAGGTTTAATTTATACATAAATAATATAAAAATAATAATGACTACGTGCCACCTAAGGGTGATGACGCGTGTCTCCATGTAAAAACCTGACTTTTGATGATGAGACCGCTTGGACGGTTGCTCTATCAGTTTATTTTGTCAGTTCCTTTTCACATTTTGTATAAAGATCGACAAAAAGTGATGACTGGCGGATCGACGACCAGACTAGAGAGAGATCGACACATGAGTAGTGACCGCGCATCGCAACGTGACAAAATTATAATTTATATTTTTCTTCAATTAACCTCTACTAACTAGTAGTAGCGGCAAGTAAGGGTCGATCCCACAAGGAATGTGAATCAAATCGTGAATTTTCTCGTATTAATTGAATTATAAAAAACAATAGAATTTAATAACTAAATTAACTAAAATTCTAATAAAATAAATAAGATCTAAGCAAAAAAAAATATAAAATTAAATAAATTAAGAGAAATTATAGTTCACGGTTACGTCTACACCCTCGATCGACTCGTTTAATCAACTTTGGTATCAAATCTCGCTATCTTATGGAATTACTATCCCTAGGCAACGACACGGTTTGTTACCCGAATTTTTCCTAATTTTAATTTAACCGCGAGATGCTCTACGATTAAACCTGACTTCTTGTACAGTCCAGAAAAACGTTTTCAAGATTTAATACAATTAGCCGCTTTACGAATTAGAAAAATAGGCTAGACTAAGTAGTGAACTCAACCGCGTTCGTTCACTTAAATAGGCCGTGTTATCCCCGGTAGTTACCGTCTTCCGATAGCCTCTTATGAATTAAACACAACAACAATTGCAGATTGAATGTCTAATTCAACTATAGATATGAAAAGCCTAATCTAGGTGATCAATCTAAATAAGACTCAACACATCATGGTTAATTATTCAAAATAACACAAACAATTCCAAAAAGACAACTCAATAATCAAGGTGATCAATCTAAATAAGACTCAACACATCATCAGGGACGGATCCAGAAATTAAGAGTAGACTGGGCTAAAATTTTAAAAACTCACTATCATAAAAACCACATAATATTTTTTTCTTCAAATATTTACTGATGTTGTGCTCGACGAGATTTTATAGAATAAAATTCATCAATAATATAATTTATACTTATACTATTAGTAAACTACCGTTCGATGAAGAGCATCAAACAATCTTCGAAAAAACCATTTCGAATCTTAATACGAAGTGTTGGCTTTTATAATTTATGTTTACTTTATATTTTTCAATTGTTTCATATTTTTAAGATTAAGAAAAAACAAATAGAGATAAAAAAAAACACACACACACACACACACACAATTACTATTTCATACACCATCATGGCACAAAAAAAAAGAAGTGCAATCAAATGATCACATCAATTACTATTAAAACCCTAAATAGCCCAAATAAAATAAAAAGATAAATAAAAAACAATTACACAAATGAAACTTACCCTAGCACACTGCTGATTATTAATTTTTATTGGAGATTTGGAGTTTGTCAAGTTTGGAGTATGGTGCTTAGAATGGTGTTTGGTGGACTTAAATAGATAGGAACATTTTGGTGAGTTAATTGGTAGATTTGAAAGATTACGGTGTAATTCTCCTCTGCCTTTGCATAGATCATTTGTTGGAATTCTGTTTTGGAGGTCCAGCCATAGAAAAGTATTGAGTTGGGCTCCTGGGCAGGGTTAGGTTCAAAATAAAAAAGTTTTACACACTAATAGTATTTGAAAAAAACGAAAATACGACTGGGCTTAAATAAAGAAGTTTTACACACTAATAGTATTAAAAAAAACAAAAAATAGGCCTGGGCTTAAGCCCAGCCCAGGCCTTAAGTAAATCTGTCACTGCACATCATGATTAATTATTCAAAATAACACAAACGATTCCAAAAAGATAACTCAATAATCAACCACGTAAATTAATCAGTCAAATCATAGAGTTCAACTTTTCCGGAACTAGAAAGAAAATCTACTCTAACATAATAAATAATAAAAGAAAGAGAATATGAATATCCCCTTTCGTGTGCGGCTGCAACCTCCCTCCGCAATTAATCGGATTCCCTGCTCGCATTCACTTTCCTCTTCTCTGACTGCGTGAATTTCTTTTCTCTCGTAAATTATAATCCTCTCGCCTCTGTCTCTTCTTTCTCTCGCGTGGCGGCTCTCCAAATATATATACTCTCCGCAAAATAAATCCTTATAGCCCTATGCGTAATTCTCCGCCCAACAATTAATTCCCACCAAATAAAAATCCTCTTACAATTCAATTGTGTTGCCGTGTCACGTGTGGCATGAGTATTTGGGCCTCTTTAATTGTCCAAGTAATTGGACATCTTGGGCCCATAATGTGCTGCAGAATGGGCCTTAATTGATCCGGGCATCCCGATAAATGCTACTTGAACTCCCGTCCATAGCTTCGTCATTTACAAAAATACTCTAATATCCTAAAAATAAAACATAAATATATCAAAGCACCAGAATCCATCTGAAGAAATAAATAAGTCGAAAAACATATAAGTGCGACAAACTTAAACATATAAAAATACACTAATAAATATATAGAATACACATTTTTTCCGACTAATCAAGTAGGCATGTGGGTTATTGGGCACCTCTTTCTATGGTTTGAGCCTAAACCAACATGGGGCCACTTTTCATCATGAATGACATGCATTGTGATGTGATGGACCGGTCTAGGATATTTAATGTATAACACTATACAATTAGACTCGATAGATACATTTATTTAATTGAAAATAATTTTCTTATTTTCTAATTAGTATTATTAATTTATGAATGTCAAATCGAAGCTCGTGAAAAGATTATTAATTCAATATGTCATATATGAAAACATGATAACAAATACAAAAGTTAATGTTTTTTGAAGTATAAATTAAAAATATCATAAGTATGAATATAAGTGTAATGATCTAAGTTTGTTGTATGACAATGTAGATTAAATGTAAGGTTTGTTGCCCAATAGTGTTGCAATTACATGAATAAAATCTGGAGAAGAAGATGAATCGGCGGGGGAAGAAATGGGAGAAAATGCTTATCGCACGGAAAGATGGAGCGAGAGAGGGGATTTGAGTGAGAGAATGATTAGTGATTCTATTATTCTCATTCATGCACGCACATATCTGATTTTGCGCAAGCATTCCCACTCAACCCTTAATAACTAGCCATACTAATAATACTTGAACATAGTTAAACCTAATCGGGTCTAGATAACATGCAATTTATTACCTAACTACAATTCAAACTATATTGTTTGTCATACATCAAAATTCATTAAAAAAATAAAAAAATACTATATCACAAAAGGTTTATGGGAGGTAAACCTCAAACTCCTCCCATTTAATAGTAAAAGTTGAGGGGATTTATAAACCCAGGCAAAACCTTGTCACTAAAGTTGTCCTTAAGGAGCCATCTATTGGCTCTATAACAAAACTTTTAAAGAGTATGTAGAGTTTGAATTGTCATACCTCACCCCTTTATATAGGGGTGATATCTTGTTGTCCAAGCTTGGTAGGATGGGCTGCCCGAGTGACCAAATTGGCCGTTCGTATTGCACAGGTGCCTAAACTACCCAGTTTTATTAGGACATGTGGTCCAATCCACGTGCAGTTCTTATCCTAATAATACTTTTTCTTATTTCGTAGTCTTTCTTATTAGACGATCTAATCGTACGACCAACTCGACTCCCATCGAGCTAGATTTTCTCCTCACTGTGCTCGTGTACTCTATCCTTCAGGTTCCTGCGTGCCTTCAGGTCGAGTTTTTACCAGGCTATTCGAGGACCCTAGGTCGATCTGTCAATTATCTTTTTATATGCGACGTCCTCGTTGACCTGAAGACTTTTCGATCTGAAGCTTTCTCTATCTTCTTTTGACCTATTGGTTTGCCCGATTCGGTTAGATGGTTTCTCGGGTCAAGTCGAACAAATATGGTATCACATATCAAATACAATATTATTAAAATTTTAGGGTACAAAATTTACATATGAATAATTTTTTTTATTATTTTAATTATTATATAAATATAATTTAAAATTTTATAAAATTAATTACTCAATTCAACAATTGATCCGGTGGCCCGACAATTGAATTGTAACCCGAAATCTAGCCGGTCAATCATCGATCCGGGTTTTAAAAATATGCATACTATGGCCAGAAATTCTATGGTGCCCATATGGGCACCATATGGTGCCATAATCTCATGATCCAACGCCTAATATCCATTGTGGAATTGATAGAATAGATATTAGGCGTTGGATCGTGAGATTTATGGCACCATAGAATTTCTGATACTATGGCACAAGTTATTTTATCTTCTCTTATCTTTAGGTTACCCGAGGAACTTATGAACCGAACCGTTTATTTTTCGGTTTCAGCGAAGTATAGTATACAAAATTGCATCTGTACCGGTTCCAATTCCGGTTCTTGGAAAAAAATGATAAAAACGGACCGGTCCAGCCTAAAAATAAGTAAGCGAGAAACTTTCCAACGAACGATTCGAAGTTCGATAGTTTGTACTCAGAGTCACCCGCCCCACCCTCAACAACGCTCTATCCTACTATTCTAGCGTTCATTTTCTCGCCACCGGCGCCGCCCCACGCCTCCGCAATCCGCCGATAAGGCTAGGTAAAGTTACTCTTTGAAAATTTCAGTTATTAATATTATTATTTGTTAATCTTGTGCGAAAATTGTTTACAGAGGCTCTGTGTTGTTCCACGAGTTTGTTAATGGGTTATATTGTTCGTTTTTGTGTTTGAAGTACTGGCCTATTTGAGGTTCCTAGGATGTAGAACTTTAGTGTGTGTAGGTTTGCGTTGGTGTGTATTGCGATTTTTCTATGTCATGTTCTGAAAAATGCTTCGTTTTGTACCTTGACCGCGCTTGGTTTTTGCCTTTTTGGATCATCTTATGCGATTTCTGTCTTGGGAAGTTGAACTGAAAGAGAAACCCTCTTATCTTGTAAAAATTGATAGTGTACCTCATGTAGGCTTGTGCTTTGTATTTACCTTATGAGTAGCCACATGTTGAAGTGCACTTCTGTCAGAGAGGATTTTACCTGAGGTGCCTATGTAATCTCTTAAATGGTAATATACATGTTGGGTTAACATTGTAGTGGTTTAGCTGTTTTCTCTCCTTAATAGCTTTTAATGATTGTTTTTTGTGCAAAATTGATGGCTAAATAGAATTGTCTGAAGATTTGCATTTCCCATATTGTGATTTCTTCTTTTGAGCTTTATTTCTCAGTTAAGTAGAATTAGAAACTGAATAAGCGTCAGCTATTCGTGGAAGATTTAACTGGTTCTTGATTCTTGGTGGCGACTCACTGGTGGCTGAGTCTTTCAGGATTTAAGTAATTTATTTGTCTTTATTGTTTGGACTTATGTATATGTCACGGTTTTACTAAGCCATTCTAAAAATTAAAATCTAAGGAGTATTTGAGACCGAGGACATTTGTTTTGATAGCACTAAATGTTTGGTTGTTTTTGTTGTATTATTTTAAGTTAAATGGTCTTTCCTAAGTGTCCTTGAAGAAAACAGTTAGCCTTCATTTAGTCATTGTGGTTGCCGACTTTCCTGTTGGTGTACAAGTACCCTTTAGTGATTTTAAATGAAGGTCAATCTCGTATGGTGAACAGAGACAAGGTTTGGGTGGGATTGGAAATTAGCCGTCTGAGAAAAGTTGGCCCTCCCAACCCCACCCCAATTTTTGATCAGGGCACTTTACAGCCCTATGCTAACATTAATTGCTAAATTTAAAGCAAAAAAAATGGTGAAAAGGCCAACCATCCGTAAGGCACTTATCTCTAGTGTACTTCCCAAGAGAATCCCTCCATTCTTCAGCTTGTTTTGCTCTGTTGCCTAAATAAGTGTGGCATTCTTTTTTCAACCATAGGATATAGAAGCTTACTGAAAATCTTGATTTTGTATTTCTTAACAAGTAGATTGAAGTTTGTTACTTTTTTTTTCCCGATGTATGTACTAGCAATGCTATGCCTCCTTTGAAGTTTAAAACTATTTCATTTTTGTCTCGTACAGAAATGAGCCGCCCATTCGCAAGTCCCTCCTCCGCCCTCAAGCGGAAAAGGCCCGAATCACAGCCGCCAGGTCACGCGGACGCCGAGCAAAAAATCCTCGATTTGATCAAAAGTAAGAAAGACTCGGGCATTTGGACAAGAGACATCAAATTCGAGACCAAAATCGCCGACAACCTCGTCACCAAATCCATCAAGTCCCTGCTCGCCAAGAAGCAGATAAAAGAAGTTGTCAACATTCAGAACAAGGGCAAGAAGCATTACATGGCTGTCGAGTACGAGCCTTCGAAGGAGCTAAGCGGGGGAGACTTTTACGCCAATGGGGCGCTCGACGAGGCCTTAATAGACGTGCTAAGGAAGGTGAGCTACAGGTACATAAGCGTCCAGAAAGTGGGGACAGTTGAAGGGACCCACAGTTACCTTGTGAAGAATAAGGTAGTTAACTTTAGCATCTCCACTGAGCAGGTTGGGGAGATTCTGAACTCGATGGTTCTGGATGATGAGATCATAGAGGTGAAGAGCACTGGGTATGGAGATTATTATTCGATTCCTATTGGGACGACTTGTTATAGAGTGACAGGTGGCGGTAGGGCCCAGAAGGGCCCGAAGTTGGGTGCGTTTGCTGCGATTCCATGTGGGGTGTGCCCGAGGATTGGTTTGTGTACAAGTGATGGGCCTATATCCCCAACTACTTGTGTGTATTACACAAAGTGGTTGGACATAGATTTTTGAAAACATGATGTTATTTTTTTTTTTTTTTTTTTTTAAATTCTTGGTAGGAATAGCACTTTAGTGATATAAAAGTCTTGTAAAAGGATTCACACTGCTTGGCTAATGTATAATGTATGTACTGAGGCTATGTAGCTTTGGGAAGTACTGAGGCAATGTATAATGTATGCTTGGCTTGGTCTTGCACGATTTCATTGTGATAGAAGGCTGCTGCCCCTTAGTCTTAGTAGCTTTGGCAAGTACTGAGACCATGTATAATGTATGTTTGTGGCTTGGAATTGCACAAATTCATTGTGATAGAAAGGCTGCTGTATTCTATTTTCCTCTTGAATTTTCCTCGAATCAAAGTTTTGTAACTGTCCATTTAGACATTCTAATCAAACGTCTAATAGCCTGTTCCTGTCTAAGAATGGTGTTACATTATTTGTGGGTGGGGATTTTGCCTCAAATGAGCATCAAGCCACTTGACCAACAATAAAAATGATAGTTTTATTAGTATAAACCAATACAAAATGCCTTTTGAAATTAAAAGAATTGTAGTATTTATGCAATAGCTATTGTAATCTAGCTTGAAATTTGCCGATAAATTAAATGAGCCGATAAACGAGCATGAAGAACTCAAATTTTAACGAGTTAGAATTAAGATAAATGCTTAAATATTAATTTGACTTGTTAACTAAAACTCAGTAACTCAGTTTGTGATTAAGTCTTTAAAGCTGAGCTAACAAGCCTAGTGGAACTCACAGCAACGATTTCACCAACTCTATGATTTATGCTTCACCTCGCTTGCGCTTTCGGTGTATGTTTTCAGTCTTCAATCCTAGCAGACGATGAATTGTTATTCTCTCACTACTGTCACTCATGGCCTCAGCCCGAGCTCATTTCCATGCCGTCAGAGGCCTAACAAGGCCTACTCTATTGGGTTGCCTTTCAAGGTCTCGTCAAACCGAGGCCGAGCAAATCCATCCCTCGCTGTCTCTGCACCTCTATCGCCGTTCAAAATCTGCAATTCTGGACTTGGTCGAACGAGGGCGTCTCCAAATGGTGCCCAATCGGCCGGCGGAGATGTCTCAAGTGAGCTGCGCACACCGAGTTTCTTGGAATTCATCACTTCCGAGAGGGTGAAAGTGGTGGCGATGCTCGCTTTAGCTCTGGCTCTCTGTAACGCCGATCGGGTTGTCATGTCGGTCGCGATTGTGCCACTCTCGATCTCTCGTGGCTGGCGTCAGTCCTTTGCTGGCGTTGTTCAGGTAAACCCCAACCTTTTTCTCTCGACTGTGTCTTCCTTGTTTGAGCTGTTGTGATACTGAATTTGCTTGTGTTCGCCGTTTTCCTGTACTTCCTCATCTTTTTCACCGCATCTTATTGATTTCATAGCCACTAATGGCAGTCGTCTTTTCTATGGGGATACCTGATATCACCTATAGCTGGAGGGACTCTGGTGGACCGTTATGGTGGTAAAGTAGTCATGGCTTGGGGAGTGGCTTTGTGGTCTCTGGCTACCTTCCTTACTCCATGGGCAGCTGAAACATCTCTACTAGGTTTGCTTGCCATGCGAATGCTACTTGGCATTGCCGAAGGTGTTGCTCTTCCTTGCATGAATAATATGATAATAAGGTACCTAGAAGTTAATCCGGCATATATGATTGTTTGATTCTCATTTTCTTTGTAGTAAAGCCTAAAGCACAAAGATGACTAACATTTTTGAATAATCTTGTATAGATGGTTTCCTCAAATCGAGCGGTCAAGGACTGTAGGACTTGCAATGGCTGGATTCCAGCTTGGAAGTGCTATTGGGCTTTCGCTTTCTCCAATCCTCATGTCACAAGGAGGCATATATGGACCGTTTGTGATATTTGGGTTGTCTGGCTTTCTTTGGGTTTTGGTGTGGATATCAGCAACCTCAAGCTCTCCAGACCGCAGTCCTCAAATATCAATGAATGAGCTGAAATACATACAGAACCAGTCATCAGTATCTTCTTTGTCAAAAGACCAAAGGAGAGCAAGTCAAGCGATTCCTCCATTCCGGCGTTTGCTCTCTAAGCTACCGACTTGGTCTTTAATTATTGCAAATGCTATGCACAGTTGGGTAATGCATCTGGTTTCTTTTAGAATTCTGGATAATTATAGAAATTTGTCTCTGTCTATTCTGTGGTTGTCTGAATGTTCCTTAATATCACGTCTCTTTGAAATTTTGGATGCAAGTCGAAGGTGGATTTGATTAAGGTTTTATGTGCAATGATATGGTGTCATGTTATTAGGCGATTTGAGTTGCTGGGGAGGGGCCGTGATTTGCCTATGCTGGAGAAATTTGAGAACTAACTGGAAAAGAAAAATGCAGGGATTTTCTCTTAATTCTCAGTTGTGTAATTAATGTAAGATTATAAAATTGTACTAATAATCCTACTTTGCGAAATGATACAAGTCAATGCAATGGAAAGGACTTTAAAAGGAATTAAATTGTCTGAAAGGAAATGATACAAATGAATGCCAAGGAAAGGATTCCAAAATTATCATTTATTTTATCTCGGCACTAGGTTCTTGCTACTCTAACAGTAATTCCTTTAGAAATCTGTCACATGGCACACATAGTTGCTTCACATTTGTCTTGCAGGATTGTTTTTCAGTAAGATTTTTATTCTCTCCCCGGCTTTTCTTTTTAATACTGCAGGGTTTTTTTGTCATACTTTCATGGATGCCAATCTACTTCAAAACGGTGAGTTTGTACAAGTATGGTTTGAATCTGGATTTATTTAGTTTGTGCTCCTGGAAGACAAATTATAGGGATTTTTATTGCTGTAGATATATAATGTTGATCTCAGACAAGCTGCATGGTTTAGTGCTGTTCCGTGGAGTATGATGGCTCTTACTGGCTATTTTGCTGGCGTCATATCAGATTTGATGATTCAAAATGGCACAAGTGTCACTTTGACTCGCAAAGTCATGCAGGTTTTACTTCTCACGGCATTCCTCTGCATCTGCTCACCACCTCTTCCCACAAAAATACAGCAACAAAAAAAAGAAAGCATACTGAGAAAGACTTGAAAATATCCTAATGCATAAATTAATTTTGTTATTTGACTGTGGTTGCCTACAGAGACTTCAAAACTTGTCCTAGAACGAGTTTTATAAATTTTATGTGGCTCATAATTTGTGCCTGGAACTGAATATCTCATAATTCCTTTCCTCTAAATTTTCATTTGACATTGTTCCATTTTGCTTCTCTTCTAAACTTCCTTCCTCTTATTCTTGGCAGTCAATTGGATTTCTTGGTCCTGGCATCGCTCTTATCTGTTTAACAACGGCAAGAAGTCCATTCATAGCATCTGCCTGGCTTACTTTAGCTGTTGGCTTGAAAGCCTTTAGTCATTGTGGCTTCCTTGTGAACCTTCAGGTAATAATAATAATGATATTAGTTGTATTTTCATATGCTCATCTCTCGATTTCTGTTTACCATTTGCTCCCTACAATCTCAGGAAATTGCGCCGCAATACTCTGGTGTTCTACACGGTAACTTCTCTCGTCTCGTCATGAATTTTTCTGTCTGTGATTTAAGTTTTATCTATATTCACTCCATTATTTGACAAGAAACAATGACCTTAGAAGCTGGCTGAATACTGAATTTGAGTCCATCTCTATCTATGTAGGTTTGTCTAATACTGCTGGCACATTTGCGGCTATAGTGGGGACTGTTGGTGCCGGTTTTTTTGTCGAGATAATGGGCTCGTTTAAGGGGTTCTTGTTGCTTACGGCTTTCCTGTATTTCTCCGCAGCTTTGTTCTGGAACCTCTACTCAACTGGAGAGCGGGTCAACTTTGACGAAACTACTTAGGCCCTTTGTTCAAATTTGACAATGCCCGGCTTGTAATTTTGGGATCGTGTTAGTTTTTAGATAGCGATGAATCTATGTGGCCGTGTGTTGAATACTTGAACGTACATTTGGATCGGATGTTGTAAATAATAATAAGAGATCTAATAGTCACCCTCACGCAAATGCAGTGTAAATAAGAGAAATATGGGTGGTTAAAACTTCAAAGACTATATTTACAACACATTGCATCAATTTAGAATCATACATCTCAAGGCAAGGGACTCGGATTTCTTAATAAAGTAAAGAGAAGTTTAAATGCAAACACGAGGAAGCGTGATTGTGAATTTTGTCAGTGAAAAGGAATTCATCAACCCCAAGAGTCACGTGAAATGATGGTTAATTTTGGCGACAATTCTTGACCAGCCGAATCGAACCCAGATGGCTGGTTAAGCCCAGTTAAGACTTAATAATATTAGTTTCTATAAAAAAAATTCTAACTCAATTCGTCTTGTTAATATTGATATCTCCAGCTTGAAAACCTTGAGCACGAATTTGTTTAGTAGCTCAACTCGATGAAGGGTTAGGGACATATTTTGGTTGCTGTACTTAAAGTTTTCTCGTTATTAGCTAACTTAGCTCGGCTTAAAGTTTTTTAGCTCAATTTGTTTGCACATCTTCGTTGCGCAAATATTATCTTTTATTAGCTGGGCGTCTTTTTCTGGGCACTTATTCAGATATTTGTCTCTCACTCTTGACAGTCATGATCAACTGATCACCCCTCACTCGCTCAAAACCACATAAACTTTTCCCTTTTTTCCCTTTTTCCCTGTAATATCTTCCGTAGGGACATACTTTTTCATGTCAATTCTCAAATATCTCAAAGTTTTGTTTGCGGCGTAAGCTAATTTTTTCTAATTATCTGGGCATTGCATTACCCGTGTTTCCAATTTCGAAGCATACGATTGGTACTAAGCCGGCTCGGTTTTAATATTTTCATCTAATGTTTTGCCTTGTTCTTACAACACCACTCAGATTTTCGTGGATTTTTATATCTGTTGTGTAATTTGTTTTTCTTTGAGCCCTGGTGATTGTAGTNAGATCATGTGAAATTGAAACCCTTTTAATGAAACGAGATTAGTATCCACATTGGTCAACTGAAATCCTTGCAAGTTTTGTTGCAGGTGAAGTGAAGAGCCATGGCAGCTACTGTGAAGACCAACGGTGATGGGACTGATGAAGCTAAACTTACAAAGAAAACTCCATCAGTTGCTTATCCTCTGGCTAAAGAACCAACCCAGATTTCTGCCAATATTGAGTACCACGCGCAATACGGCCCTCATTTTTCCCCTTTCAAGTTTGAGCCAGAACAAGCATTCTACGCTACTGCAGAAAGTGTTCGTGACCTCCTGATCAAGGTATTGTGTCCAAATGACACCTGGTTTTTGCAGTTAAGGATATATGATGACTCATATTGTTGATTTCTGCCTTTTGTTTTGATATTGGTGATGCCAACTGCCAAAGTTAAGATTGGTGTATATTCAATACGTTATATATGAGGTGACCTGCATTTATAAATAAGCCTTTATGCATAAAAGCTGGCGACTTTGTTCATACTTCATTGTAGTCTCTTGTGGTTAGCATGCATTTCTTTTCTATTCCTTATTTCTTTTCGGGAGTATGGTACTTGATAAGCCAGTAAATAAAGAAAGTAGCAAAAAAGTATTGCAGTTTAACTTGAGCGGTGAAGTTATAATGAATGTTTGTTTTGCCATTGTTGCATGTTTTGATTTTATTCCGAAAGAATAAATAAATAAAAAATGTGAAGTTATTTTGAATTTCATGGCAGCAATGGAATGAGACGTACAGTCACTATCACAAAGTTAATCCTAAGCAGACATACTATTTATCCATGGAGTATCTCCAAGGCCGAGCTTTGACCAATGCTGTTGGGAACCTCGATGTTCAAGATGCATATGCTAAAGCTTTAAAGCAACTGGGTCATGAACTTGAGGAAATAGTGGAGCAGGTAAACTTATTTGCCCCTTTGCACTTGAAAAATGTTTTGGTGTTAGATGAAATATCATGCCACATGACTTCTCTTATCTTCTTAGTTCAAATTCAGTTACACTCGTTACTTAAAATGAATTAGATTACTGTGCTGATCATTAACCTAAATATCCACCTTCAGTATTCTTGCCCAATAATTTTAATTGAATACATAGGAGAAAGATGCTGCACTTGGAAATGGTGGTCTTGGGAGGCTTGCTTCTTGTTTTCTTGACTCAATGGCAACCTTGAATTTACCTGCCTGGGGATATGGTTTGAGGTACAGATATGGTCTATTCAAGCAGATAATCACCAAAGCAGGCCAAGAGGAAATTGCAGAAGATTGGTTGGAGGTTCTCTGGCACATATGCTATGTCAACACTAGTTTATCTCTTCTTTCCTGGGAAAATGCGAACTAATAAACCTTTTGTTTTCTGGTGAACTTAAGCAGAAATTCAGTCCCTGGGAGATTGTCAGACATGATATTGTCTATCCAATAAGATTCTTTGGACAAGTTGAGGTCCATCCATCTGGGTTGTAAGTGAAGCTGTAAATTTTTCTCATTTTACTATGGTTTGAGTTTAATATCTGGATGCACTCGAACAATTCACGCATTGTTTTTGAAAATGTTTTAGCCGAAAATGGGTTGGCGGAGAGATTATACAAGCTGTTGCATATGATGTGCCAATTCCTGGATACAAGACAAAGAACACCAACAGTCTTCGTCTCTGGGAGGCCAAAGCTAGTGCTCAGGACTTCAACTTATTTCAGTTTAATGATGGGCAATATGAATCCGCAGCTCTACTTCATTCAAGGGCTCAGCAGGTGAATAGTTCATGTTCTGAATCTGCAATATGTAAATTGATGCTTATAGGATTAAATGTCCTGACCGTGCATTCATCAAGTCTCATTAAATGTGTCATTGGCATGTGCAGATTTGTGCCATTCTCTATCCTGGAGATTCTACAGAAAATGGGAAACTTTTACGACTGAAGCAGCAGTTTTTCCTGTGTAGTGCATCGCTGCAGGTATTTTGATATCTTATTTCCCCTTTTAATGTTTACCTTCATCTATTCGGGTAACTTTGGGTTCTTCTAAATTTTCTTGTAGTAATTATCATTAACAAGCAATCAACGTGCCAGAACCGTGACTTTTGCTCTTTTCTCTTTTGCTCCAATCTCTTCCTTTTGTTTTGAGCCCTTTTTGTGTTTCTCTTACCATTGGTTCTCTTGGGTTTCATCTCTAGCCTACCCCAACTTGCTTGGGACTAAAAGGCTATGTTGTTGTTTGTTGTTGTTTGTTGTTGTTTGTTGTTGTTGTAATTATCATTAACAGAAACTCAAAAGTTTAACAACCAAGTTTGGTAATCCTGTTTGAAATTTATAAATCTGAAATTTATAAATTTGAAATCAAGCTTTAAGCTGCATCATGCAGAACAACTAGAAGATGCCTAGATCTCATGAAAGGGGCTGTATAAAGAGTGTGAAAACCCTTTTAAAAGTCTACTTCCACCTCGTATATCAAACAATGTTTTTGAATAAGCATCCATTTTATACGCAAAGGTCTGGTGCTTGATATCTATGTAAAATTACCGCAATACATTATGAATACCTCTGGATCTGGAAGTTTCTGACATTTTTGATTGAGCAAATATCTTATTTATGCATTATATTTCACAGTTTACTTTCTAGAACTGGGCATTACCTCCCTTGCAATTTTTTGCACTTAATGAAGTCCATCAAGTAATAATGACACAATCTGTGTGATATTACCCTTTCTACTATCATTCTAAAGCTGGTGCCAATTTTTCAGGACATTATAGCCCGATTTAAGGAAAGGAAAGATGGAAAGAATGACATCCAATGGTCGGAATTCCCTTCTAAGGTTGCAGTTCAACTGAATGATACACATCCGACTCTTGCAATACCGGAATTGATGCGTTTGTTAATGGATGATGAAGGCCTTGGATGGGATGAAGCTTGGGATATTACCACCAGGTGCTGTTTTAACTACATAAATTTTGATTGCTTAAAATCATATATAGCTTTGCCTTTTGCTGTGTGGTGCTGATATTTTTTATGTGAAAAATGTGGTGAAACCAGGACAATAGCCTACACAAACCATACAGTCCTTCCTGAAGCCCTGGAAAAATGGTCACAAGGCGTTATGTGGAAGCTTCTTCCACGCCATATGGAAATCATTGAAGAAATTGACAAGCGGGTGCTGTATTCACTAGTTAGGATTCCTTTATGCTTAATGCTAAGACGATTTAATATGACGAATTGTCCTGCCCTCTGCAGTTTATTGCCATGGTTAAGTCAGCTAGACCTGACCTCGAGGACAAACTTACTGGTCTATGTATTTTGGATAACAACCCACAAAAAGCAGTTGTACGAATGGCCAACTTGTGTGTGGTGTCTGCACACACGGTAAGAGTTTTATCTTGCATGAACATATATCATTTATAATGTGACACAAACACAGGAGATGGTGAAAAAGCTAATATATGTTAATGAAAACAGACCACTACACCTATAAATGTATATTTCTTTTATATTTCGAATATAATGGCCTTGAAGTGATAAGAAAACAAGATGAGTACTGGTACCATTTTGTTAATCCAAACCTAGCAGTAAAAAACAAGAAATAATTATAGAAATCCATAAAATATAACTAGTAGTATAGTGGCGGTAACATTCTTTTTTTTTTTCTTTTTTTAAATTCTGTACTTCATTTGTTTCATCTGCATAGACACTGGCATTATCGCTTGAGAATGATAACATGGTGTCATTGAGTGTGAAAACCTTTCATGATAAACCGATAGACATATCATAACTTGAATTCATTTTCAGACTATTACATTTGCAACATTTTGGTATGACTAGGGACAGGCTATTAAGCAGCAGTATTTATTAAACTTCTATATCTGACCTGTTGCGCTGCCTCTTCGTTGATGTCTTTGGATGTGAATATTTATTTACCACGTGTAGTTTACAGTAAATGGAAATAGGTCAGGCCGTAACCTTTTTTCAGCGCGTAAATCTCTGTTCAACTTCAACATCTTTGTGCAGGTGAACGGTGTTGCGCAGCTGCATAGTGACATATTAACATCTGAGTTATTCTCAGATTATGTTTCTATATGGCCTTCCAAATTTCAGAACAAAACCAATGGTATAACTCCTCGTCGGTGGCTAAGGTTTTGCAATCCAGAACTTAGTGATATTATAACCAAATGGCTAAAAACAGATCAGTGGGTGACTAACCTTGACCTACTTGCAAATCTTCGACAGGTATGTAATTTCATAGTTTCTCCAAAATAATTGTCATATCAATTGCTGATATCACCACAATTTTTTTATTTATTTTTTTATTTTTTTTGCTTCTGTATTGACGCTATTTTCCTTGAAGTTTGCTGAAAATGAAGAACTCCAAAGCGAGTGGGAATTGGCTAAGTTGGCAAGCAAACAGCGTTTGGCAAACTATATTCTGCAGGTCACTGGTGAGAACATTGACCCGAACTCAATGTTTGATATTCAAGTCAAACGCATTCATGAATATAAGAGGCAGCTGCTAAACATTTTGGGGGCTGTCTATAGATACAAGAAACTAAAGGTGAGGCGAAATTTATGCTATTCCAAAAGTACCCTCTGTAATATGTTTTAATCTTTTGCGTGAACATTGTATTACTTACCCAATTAACATGAGGTATTGCTTGAGCATTTAATTAAGCTCCATGACAGTCAGTAAAATGATTTCTGTATTTCTTGTCTGTGGCCTTGATGTTACCGTCTATTGCATCGGATACAAGTCCAATTCTAGAAAGCACTATTCATTGCTTTCTAACGTAGTTAACTGCCAATGCAGGAGATGAGCCCTGAAGAACGTACAACTACAACTCCTCGCACCATCATGATTGGAGGAAAAGCATTTGCGACGTATACAAATGCCAAAAGAATAGTAAAACTCGTAAATGATGTTGGTGCTGTTGTCAACAGCGACCCGGAAGTCAATAGCTTTTTAAAGGTTCACCTCCTTTATATCTTGAACTCATCCGCTTAAGCCTGAAGGAAATATATTGTTTTTCATGTTGTCCATTTCACATATAGCGAAACTTGTTTCTGTATAACCCGTCTTCACATAAACTTCATCAATATTTGCTACATTTAAGAACCATAGGAACTAGAAATGGAATATTTCTTCATTTTTTTTATCTGCTGTTTGTTGCCTGATCTTGTGTTGACTAAACCCAACAATGACAAATCATATTTTCCATACTTGCACCATTTGAATTTCTTCTGTAATGTTGACCACCCTTGGAAAAGTCAGTAAGCTAATTAAAGTTTCAGTTGCATAGCACTCAAATGCATAGGACTCGTGTCTCTGTCTTGCAAATTTTTCTTTGTGGCCCCAACTCATCATATGAGTATTATAGAGTCATCTTGTATAATGTAATTTTTCTCCTTTCACTTGCGATGTATTCAGGTCGTTTTTGTCCCCAATTACAATGTATCCGTGGCTGAGATACTTATCCCTGGAAGTGAATTATCACAGCATATCAGTACAGCTGGAATGGAGGCAAGTGGCACAAGTAATATGAAATTTGCCCTCAATGGATGCCTTATTATAGGGACACTTGATGGCGCTAATGTTGAAATCAGAGAGGAAATTGGGGAAGAAAATTTCTTTCTTTTTGGTGCCACAGCTGATGAAGTTCCTAGGTTGCGTAAAGAAAGAGAAAATGGAATGGTAAATCTCTATATGTTGTTCAATGCCCCATACCTTACATACTTCTGTTTGTTTTATACATCGAAAACAAGATATTGTGTGCTGGCAGAGGCATGGAGTATTAAGATAAATGGTTACATTATGCAATAAGCTACTAAAGATTAATGGTGAATCGACATATAATGATTGACTTGACTATGGTAGCGTCACAATCACCGAAAATTTTTGATATTTGGTTTTAGCTGGAAAACATCACTTTTTAGTGTTTCTAAATGATAGCTTTGTTTTTTTCAACATCTGGAAAGCATTGGAAATCACATATTAGTGTTGCAGGGGGTCCCTAAACTCTCCCGACTTTTCTTTTTCTTTTCCCTATTACAACAAAGAACATATATAAAGAGAAAGAAGTTTAGGAACTATCGGCGTGAAAGGAGATGGCTGTTCATCATTCACCAGCAGAAAGCTCAACTTACACGGTTTCAAGTATTAAAGTAGAAATCATGGAAAACTAAAGTTTACTCGGAAAGTGAGATGTGTTTACAAAATGTTGTAGCAATTACTCAGCACTAAATTTGTTCTTTGATAATACTGACATACTGTACACCAGTCTTGTGGACCTCAGAGTGGGTCTCCATATTCATTTTGTTGATCTAGCTAACTTTGATTTATTACAGAAAAGGCTTATCCCAGAATAACATCATCTTCATTCTTGATGTGTAGTTCAAACCTGATCCTAGATTTGAAGAGGCTAAACAGTTCATAAGATCTGGAGCATTTGGTACCTATGATTATAATCCACTGCTCGAATCACTTGAGGGCAATTCTGGCTACGGGCGTGGTGATTACTTTCTTGTTGGTTATGACTTCCCAAGCTACATGGATGCTCAACAAAGGGTGGATGAAGCTTATAAGTAAGTATTTGAAAAATTATCATCTTCTCATATTCAAATCTTTTGAAATGACCTTACCAATAATAATAAACATAAATAAATGAATAAACAAAAAGATGAAGTATTAGAATTACTATAGAAGATACTCCTTTATGCGGCTAAATATTCCTTGTTATTTGATTGAGTTGGTATACGAATGAAAATAATAGGACTGATTCTTTTTATTCACCAAAGTGTGCTTGATTCATCAAAATGCATTACTTCTCTGCATCAAATATTCTGGTGATCATAGATATTGTTGCAAGGCTCCAAGTCCTAATATGGGACAAATTTTTTATATTGGTTTTAAACGACACTGTTGCTGGTTTCATGTTTCAATTGACAGTTCGCTGAATAGGTCCACTATTGATCGGCTTTATAATGCTTGAGATGCAGAATAATGTACTCTTGAGGAATCCTCTAAGATTTTCGGTGGTAGAACATCAATTTTAGGGTTCATGACAAAAACTAACTTGTAGGTATCAAAATTATTAAGCAAAAAAATCACAACGATATTTCTTTTACGAATCGAAGCCCTGTAAATATTTGCTAGAATAATGAGCTAAGGTTTGGTTGCATGTGTTTCAACTTTGGTCGGTCAATAAATTTCAGTGTTAGCTGTGCTTGCACCTTAATAGTTAGGCTCGAATTAAACGCCTTCTAAATTCCTTTTCCTTAGTTTAAATTTTAAAGGCTGGCAATGTTCGTCAAATTTCTTTCTTGCAGGGACAGAAAGAGATGGACAAAGATGTCAATACTTAGCACTGCTGGCAGTGGAAAATTTAGCAGCGACCGAACAATTGCTCAATATGCAAGTGAAATTTGGAAAATAAACGAGTCCCCCGTACCATAAACACGAAGCACTTCAACTAAGATAAAATCAGTCTACTTGTAAGAAGGTAGACAAGTATCCTTAAACATAACGAACTGGGGCTAGAGGTGCTTTGGTGCTGGCTTCCTGTTCTATATATAATGTCTGTTTCATATCAGCATCAATATCATCAGACAACTTGTTTGAACACAAATTGATGTCAATAATGCCTGACATCTTATTTTACCAGTATCAATAGTGCCAAACTTTACTCACTTTCTGCTTGTTCGGTTAAAGGAAGATGGAAAATATTATTGTGTTTTACACTTGTATATTTATACCATAGTATGGCTATATGGTAATAATAAGTGCACAATAATGTGTGCTCAGTACAATAATATATAAGTGTAAATGAAGATGTAAAGCACTTATTATTACACATTTTTACACTTATTATATGGCTCAATAGTGCCAAATTTTACCAAACTTATATAGAGCCATAAAAAAATCACGTATTAAATAGAGCCATCATGGAGCCAAACTTTCCGTCGTGCCAAATTTTACCAAACTTATATAGAGCCATAAAAAAAGCACTTATTATAGAGCCATCATGGAGTCAAACTTATCGTCGGCCATCTTATTTTACCAGTTATTAATTATATATTTTTGTCTAATTAGAGAATATAATATTTTTACTTATCTAATATAAAACACTATAAAATAAAAAAAATAAAAAAAACAAAAACAAAGACACTACAAAAATTAATCGGCTGAAGATATGTGATCGAGTCAGAGTTTTTTTTACCCGGACCGACCGACGGGTCGACTGGAGCAGTGACCGGACCCTTACTTAATACATGGATAAAACAATATATATCCACTATATTTATTTTGTTTTATAAAATAATTTTTATTTTATAAAAAAATAAAAACTATATATATATTGTAAATATTTATTATGATATACAATATTATTACTTTTGATGCATAAAATTTACATATAAATTACTTACTTTTATTACTGTTATTTATATTTTTATAATAAAAGTAATATAATATAATTTTCTAATTTTATAAATCAATTACTCGGTACAATAATTGATCCGGTGATACTCAACCAGCCGCCCAGCCTAGGTATCCCTGGGCCAGGGCCCGGGTTTAAATATTGGATTGTATAATGGTAAATTTTATTTAAAATGTGTGGAAATAATTTATTTTTAATTTTGATTGGAGATTCTGAAAAGGAAAAAATGGAAAATGGATAAAGTTGTAACATAGGCTGAAAGCCTGAAACTCAGCACCTTCGCAGCTGCTTTGCTTGTCATCCAAACATCTTCTCCTACTTCAGTGAAATCATTTCTGTTTCCTCTCATCTTTCAACGCAACTATGGTTTTAAAACGATTTCGAAAGCCCGAAACTGGTAAATCCCCAACTATACATATCACAATCGACCCATGTATTATTTCTGTTATTCCATGATCTGTACATAATTATGTGTTTCTACACACTCTGATTGCTCACAAAGATTCATAGTTTGTAATGTTTGTTAAGGGCGAGCGTTAAAAATGCCTTGACTTTCGTTTCGGCGGTCTTAGGAAAGATGCCATTTCTCTTGTTTAGACAAGAATCCTCCTAGATTCTTGAATGTCTTTTGCCTGTGAGGTGTTCGACAGAATGCCTGTTGGATAAAATCGTTGAGAATACGAGGATATGACGTTATTTTCTAATATGGGCCCCCTTTTTTTGAATCATCTGTTTACTCTTCGTGAATCGTATTCTCCTGATAAACACGATTCAACTAATTTAGCCTTGATATAACTAGCAAGATACGATGTTTTCAGGGCTTGCAGCTTTGAAGTCATTCAACTACGAGAAGTACCTGAAGAAAGTCGGGCTAGGCAAAGAAGACCACCATTTCTGGAAGCAAGTGGGCAAGGCCCTTTTGTGCACGTACGCCCTCTTTGGCGCCGGTTGGCTCCTGAACGAAACATCGCCTTTCGGCTGGTGGAATTTGAAGCCCAGAACTAAGGATGAAAGAGATCTGGCGCGTTCGTACCAGCGCAGGAATTTCCCGTACCCAGGTGATGCAGAGGCTATGGAGGACTTCATCACTAAAGGAGGGATGATTGGTACGACTATTGGGCCCAAAGGGTTCATGGACACAGATAAAGATTCTTACAATTATCAGAAGGAATTGCAGGACAATAAGTTCGACCAGGAGGCTTTGAAGCTGTGGATGAGGATGAGGAATGAGGTGATAGCTGAGTTTCAAGAAAAAGGTTTTGATGTTGAATGAAAAAAAGTGTTGTGCCGAATAACAAAAGGTAGGCAATTTTTTTTATGTGATTGTGAATTGTGATGCAGTGTGGAGGTTTTGATGGGATAGTGATCGTCTTTGGTTTAAATCGAGATTCTTGGTGTTATGAAGTATTTCTTGTTATAATGTTCTAAATGTAAGAATGTGATTTGTGGTGGATGAATCTTTTGTTTATTAGGTGTTGATGTTTAGTAACTGCCTGCCAAATTCCATTTATTTGATGGGAAAATGGAATTTGGTCATTATATTGATGAACTACCAGTTGCGGAATTTTTGAATGGTATTTGTTAGCATGTCTGGCAATTGTAAAAGTCAGTTTGTTTTTTTTTTTTTTTTTCNTACATTAATTTTTCAACAGGCTCATTTCATGTACCCAAATGAGAGGATTTAATATGATGATTGGACTTTTCTGTAGACTTTCTGTCCCATCACATTTCTCAAAAGGCTTCTTGTAGTTTTATTTTTCAAGTTTTACCATTGTTTTCCAACGAGTTAAAATTTCTTGGCTTACTCAGTCACAGCAATCAAAATATTGTCAGTGGCACGGCATGAGAGCAGTTTAATAAGAAGTAAACTGATTAACGTGTTATAGTAGTAGACGTAGAGCAACAAGAAACCTACAATTGACATGACAGTTAACTTGTGCCAAAAGTTGGTTGCTTCAAAATAATGCCAATGCACAAAATATATATTCAGTGCAATTTATTCAGTTGCCCCCAAGTTTACAGTAAACAAAAACATCAAGTACAGAACAAAGGCCATACATGAGCAGGGCTAGAAAGAACTCGATAGTCTCTAGCAAAGTAATATCGCCCCTCGAGTATAAACCTACCCCCAACAAAACGTGCGATTTCATTGAAAAAAAGTTCATCGAGCTTGTGCTATAATGTTGATAATAGAAAGCATTACAAACAACAGTGTTACAAACTTTCGGTTCATACAGAGGAAATATATA